ACTAATCTCTTACTCCTCAACTTTCATATCCATTTGGTCACAACATCCTGCCAATTTTTCCTGAAAAATGTTTCAAATGTGGCTCTCCTATCTTCACTGCAACTGTCTGAGTTCAGGATCCTGTGAACTTTGCCAGGGTGATAAAATATCCTGTTCTTTGACCTCCGTGCTCCCATCCCAGACTCTTGACTCGTTCTATACTGACGCTTCCCACCCTTTTCCACATCACAATCTCGTAGAAAAGGGAGTATTTGTACAGGACACTGAAGCAAATGGATATGGCTGCCTGGGAGCTGGAGGTGGTTAGCTCAGAGTGACCAAGTGTTTCTAAAAAGTAACTCGATCTATAAACTTGCTCATTATCTTGACACACTCGTGGCTCATCTTCTCTGGCACACTAGTCGGGGGAGCTCTTCTCTGCACTGTTGCCAGATTTCTGTTTCTGAAACACATACTTGCCCCTGGTGCGTGCCTACATCAAAACCCCTAGAGCCTCCATGTTCCTTAAACTATGAACTCCAGACTCCTTGGTTTGATGTACACTTCCTTTCCTAGTGTATCAGTGTCCCAGGGCTGCCATAACGAATTACCACAAACAGATGGCTTAAAACAACAGAAATTTATTTTCTTAGTCCCAAATTCAGGTGTTGGCAGAGTTGGTTCCTTCTGGAGGCTCTGAGGGAAGAACTGTCTCAGGCCTCTGTCCTGGCTTCTGGTGGTGGCCTGGCGTCCCTTGGCCTGGAGATGCATCAGTCCAGCCTCTGCCTCTGTCTTCCCATGACCTTCTCCCCTGTGTGCCTGTTCTTTTCTTCTTATCAGTCATTAGATTAGGGCACATCCAAATCCAGCATGGCCTCATTTTAATTTGATGACATCTGCGAAGACCCTATTTCCAAATAAGCTCCCATTCACAGGTTTGGAGAGGACGTGAATTTTTGCGGGGAGAGGAAACTTCAACCTAGAACACCTAGTAATAACTTCAGGCTACTTTTCTCAAGACTTAACTAACTCCGCTCTCTAAATGTGTTCATGCGCATGTACTAGTACTGCCCCCATACCACACATACGGTGCTCCAGTTACATGGACGCAGTCACCGTCCTCAAGGATAGCAGGCCTTTTGTATCATCAATCCTATTCTTTGAAATGTGTCCCAATCCTTCCCTCTTACCCTACCCTATGGCTGCAACGTACACATCTTTTGATACTCATTTATACAGTGACATTTTCTCTGTGTTTGCTCATGGCATCATATGTATTTTTCCTCTGCTTTCCTCTCTTTCGTTACAATCGTTTGCATGTTTGTATCCTCAG